AATCAATAACTCAGAAGAAATTAGTATATTGTATAGCCTAGGCTATTAGAGTCTTCTATAGCTCCTCGAAAATCGATACACGGATAGCTGATTTGTCTTCTTTTGAATCACAACGTCAGCTTGCCACTGGTACTTCAGGAAAATCGTATTTTTCCAAGAGCAATATTCAAAAGGCTGAAAAGCAGCATAAACATTTAGTTCTATGAGGTTGCGCTCAATTTTCAGTAAAAATATGGTTTGCTTAAGCTGTCAGTTCGATCTAGAGCGCTCAAAAGTGGCTTTGACAATTTATTTTCGGCAAGAGAAATAAATAATTGAATATCTTCCCTACAGACTTTAATTAACATGTATTTGAGTGTATAAAAAAAAGTATAGACCTATGTTTCTGCCCTAACCCCTAAAAGTTAAGTTCCACAGGCACTAATAAATTTGTAAAAAAATTACTTATTTGTTAATATTTCACCAAATATGTATTTGCTGCGCTAGCATTAACCGCAGCTCACTTTTCAAAAGGTTTCTGCTGTTAGATAAGCCACTACCGGTTCACAAGCTCAGCTCTGGCGGCCTACTTATCAGTTTCGTAAGAGTTTCTTATTCTAAATTTTTTTCTAAACATTTCTGTCTCCACGTTTGTATATATAAACAACAATGCTTGTATATATTAACGTGTCTTAATATTTATGTATTTATATATATACTGCAATTTGAGATGAACAATTATTAAAACCATTTATTTTGTGCAGGCAAAGTAACAATTGCCCAGAATTAGGTAATCGTGTTTGAAATAAATCTTGCTGATAAGTCAAATATTTGTACACAACAGTTGCGACCTTGGTATCATTGGTGTCATTTGAAACCATTTGTTTGTAATTTTTGTTAGTTATTTTCACAAATATAATATAGTTATTTGTATATTATAATATAATATAAAATGAAAATGGAGCGTTCAAGTTTGTATGCGGTGCTTTTCACGTTGGTTTCCTGCGTCCAAGATTTGCACCATAATATTATTCATATTTCTATTATTCTCATACCTTTATGTATGGTATACCGCAATTTTGCGAAACATAGCAGAGATAATCGTTTCAGACAGTGTTTGGCATTTGCGCTTACTCATGCTAATTTCGCGAGATCCTCTATAGCGTATGCAAAATATATTTTTCTTTACCTAACGACAATGAATTTAGCGTTTGAACTTCAAATCGCTGTCAAGTCATCACCACTGATAAATATTTTTGAATATTCGCAGGAAATCAAAGGCAGGGGTCTGAAAAACAGATGTGAAGATTATTCCTTCAACAAACTGTGAAAATGTGCTATAATGACGTCAGCATAATAGCTGATTTTATGAGGTTGAAATTTTTTGAATAATAAAAGCCATATTTAATGTTTTTTTGTAATATTCACCACACTTGATTTGAATATGATAAATTGTACATGCTAATAATTTGCCAAATTAGCGTTTCCACGATAGTCGGGTCTACGTAACCGGTACGCATCAGAATTTTATCTGGTCAAAGATTCCCAAATCGGCAGCATTTTTCCAAATTACTTAAAAGATATTCTCTGCCGCTCCGACAACATTAAATTACACAAATTAAGTAAGGATCGCCTAAGCAAGTCAATGTTGAAAGTATTCGAAAATGGAGAAATTTTTTTATATACCAATTTTTTTTTTTTGAATTCGAAAATACTTGTGTGCGTGATAAAGTAGACTCCCCAAAACACTTCTGCAACATTTTCAAGGATTCCATTGCCTTGATTTCATTGGCAACACCACATTTTAAGCAAACTCGTTGTTCAATTTTATTTTTCCATTGTAAATATTGCTAGACAAAAAAATCGCGTTGTAAATAAACAGCTGTCAAACAGACACTAATTAATATACATACAAGTATGTAGATCAAATTTCACACGCATATAAAAAATGTTTTATCAATCTAGGGGAAAATGTTGTATTGATTTAGTATGCGCGCGCACTTTAAATAGAGCAGTCCGAGTCAAATTTGATCGGCTGCTATATCTTTTGACTTTTCAGTAAAAAAAAAAAATAATAAAAACTTATTTTCGTGCCTTTTTGTATAAAAGTTGTAATGAAGGCGACTTTTTTTCCTAAAATAAAATTAAGATTACTACTAAAGTTTTATTCTTTATTGTTTAGGACTTTATAATCTATCTGAATGCTAAACACTTTTCTGCTAATTCTCGTAAACCTTACATAATGTAATGGTCTGGAATTAAAATAAGTATTACATAAAAAACAGTATTATAAATATAAAAACTATTTTCAATAACAATAAAAATCTTGCTTGCTTTCTTTCTTAATTGCTAATGGCAAAACTACAAGTATAAAGAATATAGTAAAAAAAAATGTTTTAAAGAAACTCAAAAAACAAAGAATATTAGTAACTATAAATTTTATTGAATTCGCAAAAACTTAGTTTAAAGTATTAAAACTAAGCTTGCTGCTTAACTTTTGAATTTCCATTAGAAATGGAACAACAACAATAAACATAAGCAATCAACGCAGCGAAATAAAATTTTATTTGTTTATCAAACAACTGCAAAGCCATATAAAAGAAGAGGTCGTTGAGCTTAGCTAATATCTCTACATATGTTTTTATGTATATTGACTTACATATATTTGTTATGTTATAACATATGCTTGTACATATGTATTTATATAATTATGTTTAGAAAAACTGTAAAGCTTTTATTTACTTTATCCGCAGGTGAACACGCTTGGCATGGATGAGGAGTGGAAAGGTGGCGATATGAATGGTTTGGGTGGCGGCTTTAAAATACGTTTATTACGTGAGGCCGTTGCGCCTTTCAAAGATGAGAAAAACACAATTATTTTGTATACTGACAGGTATTTCTTTAAATAAAAAAATATTAGTTTTGTAACAAAACTTTAATTGTGTATGCTGCCTCCACTTTTTTCATAGCTACGATGTCGTCTTCACCACCGGCCTTAAGGATATTTATAAGAAATTCAAAGAATTCGGCGCTAGAGTGCTCTTCTCTGCGGAGAAATTCTGTTGGCCTGATGTGAAGTTGGCAAAGGCATATCCGCCAGTATCGGAGGCCAACTCCTCGCCATACTTGAACTCGGGCGCTTTTATCGGCTATGCACCGGAGATCTATAGTATTTTAAGCGCTGAGGAAATCAAAGATGACGATGATGATCAACGTTACTATACGAAAATATTCCTTGATGTAGATAAACGTAAAAAATTGAGCATACAATTGGACACGCAATCGCGTTTGTTCCAGAATTTAAATGGTGCGCGTGAAGATGTCAAGCTGAATGTGGATTTGGACTCGAATGAGGGTAAATTGCAGAATATTAACTTCATGACCGAACCGAGCATTATACACGGCAATGGACCAAGCAAAGTAGAATTAAATGCATTTGCTAATTATTTGGCGCAAACTTTTCATGGTAACTGTTTGATATGTCAGGAAGATCGACTAGAGTTGCAAGTGAGTTAAAGCTCAAATTCGTATAAATATTTGTTATAATATTATATGTTTGACTTGCAGGAAAATAATCTACCCATTGTGTCCGTAGCGCTCATCATTACAGAAGCAGTGCCTTTCTTCGATATGTTTTTGCAGAAAATCGAAAATCTTAACTATCCCAAACAAAATTTGCATCTATACATTTACAGCAATGTGCGTTTGACTTAATTTTTCTTATAGAAAACATATTGTTATTATTGCAATTATTATTATAGCAAAAATTCCATGATGATATGGCGCTAGCCTTTCTTAAGCGCCTAGAGAAGGAGTACCGCAGCGCGAAAATAGTGCTTTCTAGCGATGATCTGAATGAGCAACGCGGTCGTGAATTGGCGCTGTAAGTTGTTGAGTAATTGATAGCTGTAAATTTGTATTTGAGCTCATACTAAATATAAGAAAAATTTACTCGCTTCATATTATAGTTTTTATACCCTAAACAAGGTATATTACGTTTGTAACACCCAGAAGGAAATATCGGCGACCCTGTGAAATATATACATAAATCATTAGCATGACGAACTGTGTCGATTTAGCCATGCCCATGTCTGCCCGTTCGCCTGTCTGTATATACGCGAACTAGTCACTCAATTTTTGAGCTATCGTTCTGAAATATTGCACATGCCCTTTTTTTCCTCAAAAAGCTGCTCATTTGTCGAAACCACAAATATCTGACCACTGTAGCTTATAGTTGCCATATATACTAAACGATCGGCATCAGGTGCTTGTATGGAAAACTTTTTATTTTAACGATATATCGTCACGAAATTAGGCATGGCTTATTATCTAAGCCAATGATACAATCTCTTAAGAAATTGTTCAAATCGGATCACTGTAGCTTACAGCTGCCATACAAACTGAACGATCGGAATCAACTTCTTGTAAGGAATCGTTTGTATTTGTAAACGTTACTAAAGCTTCGGTGCAAGCGAAGTTAACATTTTTTCTTGTTTTTATTTGTAAAGACATTATAGCTTCGGTGCAGCGAAGTCAACGTTTTGTCTTGGTTTTAATTTCGAAACAGCAAATCCCGTACTAAATATTGTCGTTAATTTTCTTAGCTCTTGTAAGCAAAAGTTAAAAAAATATATATTTTTTTCATTTATCTATTAAATTATTAATTGCATTAACTGCCTCTTTTTCTTACACAGCCAACAAGCCAAACAAAAGCTGGGCGACTATATATTCTTTGTGGATGCCGCTGTGCAAATAGATGACCCGCAATTGCTGCGCGAGTTGTTAATAATGAATAGGTACTTTATTTAAATTAATAACTCTTTTGATTTCAATATATACTGAAATTTAAAAATATTTTTTATGCCAGACAATTCGTTGCGCCTGTGGTGAGCAAATACGATGAATTATGGAGCAATTTCTGGGGTGCACTTTCCGACGGCGGCTATTATGCGCGCTCACACGATTATGTGGACATTGTGAAGGCCTCGTTTACGTGAGTAAAATAAACAAAAACATTTTTCTATAATTTTAACACTAAATTTTATTTGTAAAATTGTATTAACGGCCTATAACAATTCAGTACAGCTATTTTTAGTATGAAAAAGTTATGATAGTATTATAAAAATGCAAACACTATTAAATTAATCGAAAGCAATAGAGAAATCTGTTTTGAAACTACGCCGATCGATTGAGTACATATTATCAGCAGTACATTCATAAAGACCGGCGTCCATTTGTGTGGCGGGATCAATTTCGATTTTCGATTTTACTCTGTCATCTCCAATGCGCCACTCATGTACCTGCCAAAAACACAAAGTAAATTGTATAGAGCACAAATAATTAATAATTTGCGTACTCACATGCATGTAGAGATGTTGAAAAATCTCTGTGCCATCTTTGTACCAGGTTATGTGTGGACGTGGATTACCTTTAGCCACACAAAGAAAAGCAATTTTATGACCCAAAACGTATTCATAATCGAAATGCGAGGCTTGCAGAATTTTAGCGCCCTGAAAATGATTTTATATACATACATATGTGTGGGAAAATTAATTTTAATATGTGATTTTTGAATTTCGAATAAAGGGTGTCAGACAGTAATTGACAAAGCGTTTACAAATCAAATACAATTTTCGCTTTTAAACAGGCTTACATCACTTACATTATTGTTGTTGTAATACTGATCCGACTCTGGATCACGATATTTGCCTGTTATGGGTAAACCGATTTGTACCTGCGAATTAATAAACATTTATTTTAATTAATAAACCATTAACGTTTCGTTAACGCAAGTCCACATACTCGCGATTTGGTGCGTCCTCGACCACGTCCACGTCGACCGTCGCACACTTGACAGCTTAATATTAGCACCCCAAAGCAAATCAACAATACTTTTACATTCATGATTTTTATAGCAATTAGCGGATTGCAGAGCGAAAACAGTTTTTGAAATATTACTTAAATTATAAAAAAAGTTGTGTTTTTTTGTTTTCAAAACCTCTGTAGCAATATTTTGTATATAATTTATTTCAATTTGGGCTCGGTTACGTTTCGGTTCGGCTCGAGTGTTAGCGCTATACGCTCGCCCGTTACGATCGCTGTCGCCTTATTGTTTGCTGTACACTTCGACCGGATAAATCAGACTAAACATTGGATATTTTCTGAATCTGCCGTCGAATCACGTTGTACGGTTTAATTGTGTGATTGTGTTTGGACGTAATGCAAGGGACCGTTAGTCGCAGCATGTGTCTGGTTAAATTTGAAAATTGAAAGCTACACTTTTTGCAGGGGGCCAACGCGTTTATGTTGAACCTTTGCACCTACATATCACGAAATTTCACTCTCAGCCACTTGGCACTTATCATTTATGCAATATTTTCAACTTGGCATACTACATACATACATATAGTAATGCGCATAAGCTTTGCAGATAATAATATAAGCGTGTGACACCCTTCCGCATCTGACCACTTTTAGGTCAAGGAGGAAATTTTATTATATATATATATATATTTTTTTTTTTTTGAAATTTGTTTAGTAGTTTTCAAGTATAATATTTTGTGGCACAGTGCGTTGCGTTTTATATTTAGTCATGTCACTTTAGTAGCCTGCTAAAAATAGTTTTAATATTAACTCGAAGTAAATAATCAAGTTTAGCCACATATTGTTAGGCGTGTTAAAGCGTGATACATAATATTTGACCGCTTTCAGAATTGAAAAACGCAATATCTTGCCTGCTTTTAGGCGTTAGAGCACTTTGCCGCTAGTTTTTAATCAAAATTCGGTAAAATGTTGTACTAAAAGAATATTTTAAAATTAAGTAAATTTTTATTTTTCAGTTAGAATGTATTTGTAAGTAAAAAAATTTAAATTTGAAAATTTTGAAAATTTTCATTTTTACACACAAGATCAAATTTGACTCGGACTGATGCATATAAACCACATATGCAAACCGAATCGATAAATATTTCTTTATCCCCATCAAATTTGATATCGGTTGTATATTTGCAAATACTATAGATATATGTACATATATGTAATCAAACTTTTCATATAAAATTTGTTTGCTTTCAATATATTTTATTATAAAAAAAAATTAATTGCAATTTATATTTTTCCCAGCAGCTTCCAAGTCATAAATAAAATAATATTCTTTTGACTATGGTTTTTTTTTTATATTATCAAAAAATTTTCTGAAAAGTTCCACTGTAATTCGCTGCGCCACACAAACTCGGTTCAACTCTTTTACAATTTACTCATTTACACCCAATTGTCTACGAGCAGAAGGCAGAATAAACAAACACAACGTTAAACCGAAAATTGCCTGAATTAAATAATTGCGACAATTTGTCGCCAAATATTATTTTCCTAGGTTGGTTCCCATCACGGATTTTGTGGTATACCGGAATATGTAGTTATTTAAGTTTTTCATAGGACACGCTCATGGTTCGTATTCGTATTAAGCTGCTTTCATTGCAAATCACACACACACACACTGATTTAGTTTTAATCAAAATTTATTCGTACTAAAATATAACGGTGTTAAATATGCATACAAAATTGGCTGTGAGTACTTATTTCTTTTTTTTTTATTACGTGCAATAATTATTCGTATACATTTTCTAGAAAAAATCAATTCACACAAAATTATTGTATTTAGAAATATTATGTACTAAAAGTTGATCATAACGTAATCGGTGCGAAAGCCGCGTCTATCGATTGCATAAATATTATCCGCTTGACATTCATAGTAGCCTGCGCATTTTTACAATAAAAACGTGTTAAAAAAGTACGTATTTTATTTAGAAACTAATATAAATTATTTTACCTGCATCCATTTGTGTGGTTGGATCGATTTCCATTTTCGATTTGATTATATCCGCATCAATGTGTGACTCGTGCACCTAGAAAAGTGTAAAAAGAACTTTGATTACGTACTGTAATATAATTTATAAATGTCAATAAAAAACTTTCAAAACTTTTTCTTTAAGGGGATCTCGTTAGGTACCATATTCTACTGTAGACATAACTCGAAACATGCTTTATGAGATATCGAGTCTCAAACCCGACCCCACGCTGACTCTACTTCGTCGTTTAGTGTTCTTTAAACGCGTTTTTTCAAAAGTAGTGTTTTAAAATTTGACACAATTCTGAGAACACTATTTAAGATATTCGAAATATGTAAATTGCTACTGATACGCAAATCTCATTAATAATTTTATCATTTAGCTTGAAAAACATATTAAAAATTTTTTTTTTGTTATATCGGTGCCATTTTGTGAGATTTTCAAATATTTAAAAAATGATTCTAGACAGGAAATATATATATATATGTATAGATTATTTTTAATTGCTGAAATCCTCTCTAATTTTGTATTTTACCTGAAAAAATCGATGCTGATACAATTCGGCGCCATCTTTGAACCAAGTGATTGTGGGCCGCGGGTTGCCTACAGCGAGAGCATAACAAATTTTTTTTTATATATAACTAATTTTACAAATTTTGAATAAAATTTATGAGATTGCATTTTTTTTTTCTTTAATTTTTATTTAATTAATATCAAATTATGCCATTCTACCTACCCTGAGCCATGCAGAAGAATGTGATTTTTCTTCCCAACGTATAATCCAATTCAAAATGTGATGATTTTATTATTTTGGCGCCCTAAAAAATGTAAACAAAGAATCGGTTGAGTATGCATGTAGTCAAAAAACCACAAATTTACATTTTCATGATCGTAATAATTGACGGCATCCTGTGAGCGATGTTGTATGACAACTGGCTTTTTTCCCGTGTAGTTTCTACGCAACACGCCGCGTGCGCCGACGGTGCCTAGTTGTAGAAAATAATACAATTATTGAATTATTTTTGAAAAATAACAAGTTTTATATTAGAAAAATGCAAAAACGGCGTTAAACAACTTAAAAACGTTTAAAAATTTTAAAGTTTTTCGTATTGCAATTGAACATTTTTTTATAATTAAGTTTTTTTGTTAATATATAAAATTTTAGTAATGTTTTTTACATAATTTTTTTTTAATATCGTTGTAGTAGTTTTTCAATAACTTTTTTAACATACTTTTTTTTAATATATAGTAATTTATTACATTTTTTTAATACATATTTTATGTTTAAAATTTATATATTTTTACATTTTTTGATAGTAGTATTTTTTATTGGGAATTATTGTAAAGACACAACGTTTTAAAATTGTTTTGATATTTCAAAATTGTGTTTCAAAAAATATTAAAAAAAAGAAAAATGTTTTTATATGTATTGAATTTAAATAATATTATTCTAATATTATACTTTCTAAATATACATACATATGTTTGTACATTTATTGAATTTAAAAAAAAATATTTTAATATTATTTAATATTAAAAATATTTTTCTAACATTATTTTTCTTAAAAATATTTTTTTCTTAGATTATTAAACAATTTTAATTTTTGGAATAATGTCCTATATAATTTCACAAACATCAAAAAAAAATATTTAAACAAAATTTAGTGGATTGTTGCTGATTGAAATATTCTTATTTACTTTTTTTTTTGGTTAATTTTTAGTATTAAAATTTGTTTTTTGTTTGTTACTACACTTTTATGTATAATAAATTTTTTTATTATATTGTAATATCTTTTTTTAAATCCGAATTTCGCTAAGATTTTAACAATTTAAAACATTTTATTTACTATTTTTTGTTTTTTAAGCAAATTATGTAAATTCCATATGTATAGTATAATATTTCACTTACGCTGCGCCTCGCTGCTGGAGAGCAATAAAAAATTTAACAGCAGCAAAGAAATGTAACTAAAACTGTTGCCGAATGCAATGCGCATTTTATTTAATATTTATTGGTATAATAATTTATTTTTATTTAATTGTAGTTAAGTAGTAGTGTGAAATAATATGTTTTCAAAACGAAATAAATTTTTATACAAATTATTTTTTTGCACAAGCAATATCTTTAAAAGAGCTCAACAAAATGAAAAGAAAGAAACAGTTTTTCCGATTGTATGAAAATAAAAAATAATTATTTTTTTGTCTGCTTTCTGAATATTTGTATTTACAATGCGTATTTTTTTTATCTTAATATTTGATTTTTCTTGTCGTCTCCACTTGTTTTACACATTAAAACAATATTTGCCTAACTTGTCTATCACTTCACTATATTTGCTGTGTTAGCTCAAAGGCATGTTTCTGCAACTACTGAACACGCGAAATCCGCAATCAAACTGTGCGCCATCAACTACGTCGTCGCCATCGTCAACACATTGTGATTACACGCGTCACCAGCATTCATACTGTTCGTCTCTAACATGCCACAAACTCATTAACGCGGCATACACCCACCTACGATGTTGTGCTCTGCTTTGCGCCCACAATTTCAATTGTCACTGTGGCGAATAACCGCTATAGTGGCAGTAGTCTGCAGCTTACTAATACACCTACATTTGTTATGGGTTTAGTTTGTTGATTCTCGGAAACTAAATTAAAAAATTGTTCGTGTACAAAAAAATATAAAAATTTGTTTTAGTAAATCTTCCCTCTTAGGCGCTACTTATTTATGACGATTTCGCTGAAACTATGTGTCATTGGTTGCTTTATGAATTTGTTTACGTTGTTGCACTTTTGCGAATAAAATTTGTTTTATTTATTTTTTTTTGTAATTGCCATCCATTGTCTGCATACGGACAAATGTTCAACCTACAATGTATTTCGCGTCAACTCGTGCTGCTCCGTATACGTACATACATATGTATCTATGTATGCAGTTGCAAATATCTTCCAGATTTCAAAGCGCGGTTGTATAGTGTTATTTATAGACTTATATTTACACCAATTTGTGTCAGTTCTTATTATTGTATCATCTGCTGTTCCATATACCAAAATTTCTTTATCCTTATATACTGTTATGTTTTTTTTTTGTTGTAATTTGTATAATAATGTATGGTTTCTCGTTTTGATTTCAGCGGCATGTGGAATGTCCCTTATGTGTCCAGTGTTTATCTGATCAAGAGCAGCGCATTCAAGCATATCTCGTATCAGCATCGCGATTATGACCCCGATATGGCAATGTGCGAGTCGCTGCGCAGAGCTGTAAGTAAAACATGACATACATATGTACATAAATACAAACATAGGTTTACTTGTATTGAAATACTTAAAAATTTTCTTATGGTAAACTGTACTGCACAGCGTTAAAACGTGATCAGCGGAAGGTGCACATTTGTATATACCTATGTATATAATATATAAGCACATACATATTCGAATAAGTTCATTTCTTTAGCCTTTGCCCGTAATGAGAGCTATTTATAGTAATTTTTATTGTATATAAACACCCTATGAGAATTACAAAATTGTGTGCTTTCATAGCGTGCTTACAATTTCAAAAAAAATTTTAAAACAAAAAACGTTAACTTCGGTTGATAACAGCTAATAAAATCATTCACAAAAAAATGTTCCATCTATGAACTTGATTTTGTTCGGTCATACAAACTGTCTACGCTAAAGTCGTCCGATCTGATCAATTTCTTCAGAGATTGTAAAGTTGCCCTGGATAATAATCCATGCCAAAAGTTCATGAAGATATTTCGTCAAATAAAAAAAAAATGTTCATGCAAAGACTTGATTCTGATCGTTCAGTTTGTATTTCAGCTATATGCTATATATGTGTTACGATATCGGCGGTTCCAACAAATGAGCGGCTTCTTGCAAAGAAAGGAACGTGTGAAAAATGTCAGAATTATATCTCAAAAACTGAGGTACTGTTTCGCGTATATGCAGACGGACAGACAGACTAAATCAATGCAGCTTTTCACGTTGAACATTTATAAATATATATACTTTATAGCGTCTCTGACGTTCCATTCTGGTTGTTACAAACTTCATGGCTAACTTATTATACTTTGTTCAGGGTATAAAAATAAAATAAAAATAAAAAACGTAACTATTTTAAATGTCGAATTTTTATTTTTCCAATTTTAATTCACTTACGACAACATAACTTACTGTACATCACTTGCTTCTTTATTATTTGATTTTTTGTTTAACCGTTCCTGCCATCCTTTTACTACACAAATATTTGAGATTATGCTGAGTTTTAAACATTCTAGCTCCCATAAATACGCCTAAGTAATACTTTCTTAAACCAAATTAATCTGTTTGCACTAATAATAATATGTATGCTTCTTATTTCCTACAGGGTGTCTTCATGTACATCACTAACCAGCATATCTTTGGCCATTTGGTAAACGCCGATAACTTCGACACCACAGTCGCGCGTCCTGACTTTTACACGTTATTCAGCAATAAATACGATTGGGTTAAAAAGTATATACATCCAAATTATTTTAAACATTTGGAACCGAATACAACAGTTGAGCAACCCTGCCCGGACGTTTTCTGGTTTCAAGTCGGTACCGACGCTTTTTGCGATGATATGGTGGCAATTGTGGAAAACTTTGGCAAATGGTCAGATGGCAGCAATAAAGATGAACGTTTAGAGGGTGGCTACGAAGCGGTGCCGACACGTGACATACACATGAAACAGGTGGGATTGGATGGAGTGTGGCTGAAGTTCCTGGATTACATTGTGCGCCCGTTGCAGGAGAAAGTTTTCATGGGCTATTATCATAATGTGAGTGCAAGTGTTGTACATTTAAACTTAAAAATATCTATTTAAATATAATTATTTTTATTTTTAGCCGCCACGCTCGCTCATGAACTTCGTTGTACGTTATCGCCCAGATGAACAACCGTCACTGCGTCCACACCATGACTCCTCCACATACACGATCAATATAGCATTGAATAGTGTGAATGAGGATTACGAGGGCGGTGGTTGCCGTTTCCTACGCTACAACTGTCAGGTGGATAAGACGCGCAAAGGTTGGATGTTTATGCATCCAGGTCGTTTAACACACTATCACGAAGGCTTGTCGGTGACAAATGGCACACGTTACATAATGATTTCATTTGTTGATCCATAAATGTTTCATTTTGCGGTATAAATCAGTGGATGAGTACTTTGTAGCGCCACAGTCGTTTAGAATTTAAGCAAAAAACTGCCATTGGCGTGTCCAAAGATTACCTTTAGTTGTTTTGTAGTTGCTTTCTTTATGCGTACGTTTATGTTAATGAGCATAGTATGTGAAAACTCGAAAAGCTTTCTTAGTTATCGTATCGAATTGTAAGAGTCTACTTAATTCTACACTACCATATGCATGTGAACAAAGTCGATTAATAATAATATATATACAATTCATAAATATGCTTATAAACTTATATACACAAAAATTCATACATACATACATATATGCCTACTTATACCAAACAAATGTGAAAATCTAGTTGCATGCATATCGTGCAAAATTTGCTAAATACTCGTCATTATGAATGAATTTACTATATTTTATAATACTAACTAACAAATGAATCTGCATTTAATCAAACAATCGCAATGAATTGAAACAGTCAAAATGTACTCGTAATTGACAATTTTTTACAACATTTTTAAATTAACCTTAACCATTAGCTGATGTATGTGTTTGCTAAAAAGTGATTGATTTATAAGCAATGAACAAATAAACATTTTATGTAAAAAATATAAATAATAATGCGTTTTTTGTAGACAATAAACCAATTAGAGTGTTTCGTGTTGTTTAGTATCACAATCTTTAGTTGCTTCATCATGTAAATTGTGGTTACGTTAAATAATTATACTAGTAAACATTGTATTGTTATTTTTTCAACAAACAAGAAAAAGCGTTAACTTCGACTGCACCAAAGCGTTAATACCCTTCAGAGGTGCATTTTTCTTAACATAAAGGGGTATAAAAAGATTTTTATCTTGAGTTTGATTGGTCAGTTGTATGGCAGCTATATGTCATAGTGATCAGATCGAAACAATTTCTTCGGAGATTGTAGCGATGCATTGAATAATTATCTATGCCAAATTTCGTGAACATATTCGTCAAATAAAAAAGTATGCCCTAACAGCACTTAAGCACGATCGGCTAGTTTGCATGACAACTATATCTTATAGTTGTCCGACCTGAACAATTTCTTCGAAGATGGCATTGTTGCCTTAGACAGTAACCCATGTCAAAATTCGTGAAGATACCTCGTCAAATGAAGAAGTCTTCCATGCAAGCACTTGACTTCGAGATATGAGCAACTTCTTGATGAGAAAAGAGCATGTGAAAAATTTCTGCTCGATATCTCAAAAACTGAGTGACTAGTTCGCAGCTCATAACGCACGGGCAAAACTTAGTATACTATGTATAGAGTATAAAACTATGATGTTCATGTATAAATATATATGTTGGTAATATATAGAAGTATGTATGCATGATTCCTTAGTCGAGTATCAGTATATCAAACTCGAGAAGTCGGATCACCGGAAATATGTATGTGTGGTAAGTTGTTCGCTTATGTTCGGAAACAAAAGGTTTCATTATAATGACAAGCTGCATGATTACAGCTTACAGTAATCCAAAAATATGTTTTAAAGTTTCTCTTTCTATCGTTACTGTGTGAGATCTATTGACAACAAGATACTGAAATATTTATACTGAATATACATACATAATATACTGAAATTATTCCTGCAACAATCAAAGCAAATTTAAAATGAGAGATATACGGAAATCATGTCTGAATAGAGCATAGTTGAGCATTACTACCTGTAGAACGATTTCCCTCTGCATAATCAATGAGAAAATTGAACTTAAGACATTTTTTTGTTGGAACTTAAGTTCATTAACTTCCTGCGAAATTTGCCATTGCGTATGACTTTAGTGTGATTATAGTAGCCGCTGGGCCACTGTATATATTGTCTGGTTATCAGCTAGCTATCACAGGCAACAAAGTAGCCAAGCGCAATTTTTTGTTTTAGTTATAAAAATGCAAGCAATATATATACATATATAGCTAAAATCTCTATGCGGGTAACACACACTTGGAAGTCAGAAAAAACGTGTTTTTCTTGATTTTTTTTTTTTTTTAAGATGCATTTTATTTAATAAATATGTATTTAAAAATAGTCTACATTTACAAAATTTAACGCAAATACATTAATAATCGGTGGTTCATTTTAAGAAAATTTGGAATGGTGGGTTTTGCTGTAGCCGATCTTCAGGAAGACCTCCGAAAAAGGGTGTCTGGTGGTGAGAAAGATTTTTCAGGTTAAAATTATTTCAAATCCAAAAACAAAACAAAAAAATATTGCAATAGATGAATCGCAAGTTTGATTTTTGACAAAATGAAGGCTACCCAAAAAAGTAGTTTTTGTCAAAAAATTTACATGTCAAAATGGCTTAAAAAATCGAAATTATTATCAAAAATATTTTTTCTTCAATCATTATCTGGCAAATATAATTAAGAAGTTAATTCAAGTCTAACGGTCTAGTCGTTGCGGAGTAATTTCCCTCACCCATTCTGAAACCATCGTTTGGAGTAGACGCGCTTAGGAGTTTTGGGAGCCGATTACTTTAAGTTAAAACAATCTTACAAATACGCTCATATCTCCAAAACTACTTGCTGGATCCACTTCAAACTTTCAGAGAATATTTTCAAATATATGCATATTCGATATAAGAACATAAGAAAGTTCGATTTTTTGCAATCCATAAGTGAAAATAACCCGTTAACTAAAATGAGTTAGAATTTATTTATATATTTCAATAAAAAGCAAAAAAAAATTTATAGCTAAACTCTACCAAATGACAGCCTTAAATGTGCGCTACGAAACTCCTCAAATTTCGAGTTATGTTATTTTCTTGTGCTCTCAAATCTGAATTTTCTTTATACCCCACAATAAAATAATTAGCACTCTTCAAATTTTCTGCTTATAACATATTGCTGTAAAAATTTCACTGTTAACTTCATAGCATTGCCAGAGAAAGCAGCGTGTTAATGAACATTCAATTGTTTGTTCTCTCGACTGACCATGCTCAATAATATGCGCAATATATTTTCAACACAACTGTATATATATGTAAATGCATGTGCTAACATCTATTTAGCATATACAAAATTTTGAACAACGGTTAACACTGCTGTCGCATTTTCTTACTCGGCTCTTCTGTACACAACTGCTTCCGTTTCATATCGCTGTTATTTCGCCACCGCTACCGCTGTTAATGTATAAATCGCATTTTGCCTTTGCATTGGTCGCTGTTAACTTGTATTGATATTTGTTGCTTTTTGCGGTCTGCTGTGACAATAGTATTTATCAATTTGTTTTCACATGTTCCACTTCAGTCTCAATAAGATATCCAGTGATTCAAAACGTAGTTGCGCCTAATGGGTTGCGGTCAAAATATATATTGTACCTTGTTATCGGCAACATTTTTTTTTTGACGTTGTTCCGGTGGCGTATATATTTATTATCGCTTTTGCTTGTGACTATTATCGTGTTATAAAACGACACACAAATTGTACATGCATATGTATGTATGTTTTTAGTTGTTGAATAGTGCAGTGTATCGGCATAGGCTACGCCGCTCAGTGGTAGGTACTAGGCTCTTTGCATATTTTTTTTTTTTTTTTACGAAATAAACCGACAACTTTACAGCGCGTGAGAAAATTACGGTGTACTAAAACGTCAACAGTCAGTTATCCTTTCGCAGCGCGCATGAAAGGAGCTCTCGCCTATGATGGCATAAAGTGTTGTGCGTTGGAATTTTGGTACAAATTATTTACTTGTAGGATAATTGATGTGTGTTTACATAAAGTTAAAATATACATAAATGTATTGGGTGTGCATAAGTAGTATGGAAATAATTATTTATGCCTGGACGCCGTAAATTATGCTTGCTAAAATTGCAGAGAATTATCTGAAAAAGTGTTTGATTTATGTGAATTATTGTAGAAGGTAATCTTGTGTTTTGCTTTGTGTGCAATTTCTTGCTCTCCTCTTTTTTATTTATAATGCGCCTTGGTGTTGTGTTCTCCTTTAAGTCTGTAACTGTAAATATTGCCTTGGCGTAGCGGCAGCGGACATGTGGCCGGACGAACCGCTGTAACACGTTTGGTACTTGCTGTATATTTTTCTTTTTTGTTTGCGTATTATAAAAATATGCAGTTTAAGCGGCTTGTTTTTTTAATTAAGAAATATAACATTAATTAAAATATTTTTTTAAATTAATATTTACTAAACGTATAAAATTATTTGCTTTTTCGCCTTTTCGAGCAATAACGACAGCAGTGAAGGCCGTCGGTCGGTTGACCGCTCGGTTGTCTAAGGCAACGCTGTCAAACACCTGAGCGCTACCGTTTAAGGGGTGTTTTCAGTTTATTGTTTATAAACAAGCAACTTTTTTTTTACTTTAATCAGTGTGGCGGCCGGTTGTTACTCATATGCATATTTGTTTGACTAATCACATTTTTTATTTACATATAATATGCTTGTGTGTGGTCAGTAGCTACCAAGCACATACGTTAATTTACTGAATATTAAAATATAATTTTTAATAAGAACTTTAAGCACTTTGCTTACTTAAAAAAATGTAAATACTCGTAAGCAAATAATTTATAAGCGTTACTAGAGCTGATAGCAACCACACGTAATAATAAAAAAAATTATTTAAAAGGCGTCGTAACTAAGTGAATTAAAGCAAAGCTTAATAGCTGAAAAGTTATTTGCTATATACTCGTATATATATGTATGCATATACAAGTGTCCAAGTATATTGTTGACATCTGGCTCAAAACCAAAGCAAATTTATTTAAGCTGTGCTGGCAATATATACAAATTTGAGAGTATAACTATAAAGTATAAGACGAAATGAAAAAATAATAATAAAAGAACAGTCATCGTCTCAATCTCAGCAGTTACAACAAATACAATGTCTACTTACTTACGTAGTTAAAAATAAATCTGGTAAGTGACAAAAGCAAATTTACATACAAGTTATTTTAGTAATTCTTAATTTAGTCAGCGAGTGTCATAAAATTTACATCACGAAAAGTGACAATTTGAGTAATTAACTTTTAATAGGTCAGTTTTTAGTTAGCTGCTTTAGTTTTTACGTAGTTCTAGAAGTCTGCTGTTACTGTAGAGATTTCTATTATTGTACTTACTTAAGAAAATTACTACGCAACGAAAATTTTGTTGAGAATTAACGTACTTTTACTTACACGTCTTTTTCGCACCAAAAATCTATAGTATATAGCTGCCATACAAACTGACCGATCACAACTATGTTCTTACTTTACTATAGCCTATAGCTGTCATGCAAACTGATCGATATTAGTAAATTTCTTGTACGGAAAGCTTTTTTATTTGACGAGTTATCTTCACAAAATATTGGTGTAGATTATTGTTCAAGGCTATTTCGCACATATTGTTTGAATCGGACTACCATTGCATATAACATAGCTGTCATAGAAACTGTCTGATTATTGTAAAAGGCCTTGTAGGATCTTAAACGTAGTGATTGTGCTGAGTGAGGCTCTATTAGATTGTTGAATTGCGTTGTAAAACTTTTAGTGCCTTCGTTTAATGATAGCATTATCTACTACAACAACAAATATCCGTGTTTAACTTTAAAAGCTTAATATTTTATCTCTTCTCTGTGATTAGTAAACAAACTGCACTTCCTGCTGCTAGTTGAGTCCAATTTGAAAGCGTTGATAAACATAATTTGGTTAAAAAAAACATCTATGCCCGCCAATTACTAATTTAGGCACTTTGTTGTATTATCAAATCAATATAATTATAGCTAAAACTGCGATCTAGTGGTAATTATATAGTACATAATAATAACTAAAGTTTGCCTTAGTAGTCCTTAACAATAAGCGATAAGTAAGAAAGAAATTTAATAACAAAAAATAAATGAAAGTAACGATATTTCATTGTAGTTTGAAGTACTCATTTATGCTTCCGCTCATTCACACTGCTGTTGTTATATTTTGAAATGCACTTGCACACCCATGTTAATTGTTATCGTATATGTTTTCTTAAATTCGCAAACTTGGTATAGGTATATAACTTATCACTTAGGTTCTTTTGAAATTGAAAAAAAAGGAAAGAAAATACATGCATATAAATCTGTAGATAGTATGTTTGTGCTTGCTATACGGAGTATATATATACATAATCAGAGCTAAAAAAAGAACAATACTGCACCTAAATCAAGAAAATGCGTTATTTTCGGCATTTTCGATATCTCAAAAACTGAGAGACTAGTTAGTATATATATAGACAGACGGAGAGACACACATGGCTAAATCGACTCAACTCGTCACGCCGAACCAATAATTTTATAAAAGGCTAAGCCAGCAGAAAAGCAATACTAGATAGGACACAATCAAATAATATCTGCAATATAATGAGACCGACTGATACTGAGAAATCTTCGTAATATATCTACTAAGGTAATGGCTCATCATTATTTTTGTCGTATTGAAATAATCCGATTTAGCAGAACGACATCTTCAATGAATAGCCATATGTACATTGCAGACATAGACTCATCATTTTACTAGGGTTGATTTCACTTTAATTTTCTTTTCATAGTTTGTCATTTATGTGCAAATAAATTGTAATTGTTGCAGTGAGTAATAGCAGTGTGTGCACAATTTTCCAAATAAATGCTTATTAGAAACATTTGCATTTGTTTTTTTTTTTTGCTATTACGCTTTAAAACTATTCTCCTACTCTTTGTGATTTATGAACTTAATAAATTATATAGAATTATAGCTAAATATATAAAAAGAATACAGCGGATTTCAACTTGTGTTGAGTCTAATCTTTATTTTCGAATGCATCTTTATTTTAGGTAAAAATATAAATAATGTGGCATTGTTAGTGGTATTTAATTGGAACACAAAGTAAGACACTTCAAATGTTAAAGACATAGGAGACTAGTAGGACGTCTATATACTTCAAGTACACAGCAGTACATTACTCTCATAATAGTCTCCTTTCGCATATCGAAGAGAATCGTTCGAGGGTTCTGTCAATTCATATTAACTAACTAACTATAGAGTCATTGTAACGTAAATACAAAAATGATTAGCGTGACGAGCTGAGTTGATTTAGCCAAGTTTGTCTGTCTCCCCGTATATACGCGAAGCAGACTTTCAGTTTTTGAAATATCGAAATTCTGTTCTGAAATTTTGCGTCGTCCTTTTCTCCCCCAAGAAGCTGCTCATTTGTCGGAACCGCCGATATCGGATCTTGAGAGGATATAGCTGCCATAAAAACTGTTCGATCAAATTAAATTCTTGTATTGAAAACTTTTTTATTTAACAAAATATTTTCACATAATCAATGCTACAACCTGCGTACATATTGTTTGATTCGGACTACTACATATATCATATATCTACCACATAAACTGATCTATAAAAATGAAGCTAAAGATCTTTTTATACCATTTTATGCAATAAGAAATGCACCTGGGTATTACTGCTTCGGTGCAGACGGAAATAACGTTTTTTCTTGTTTTATTTACCATTATCTCTTGCGCATTGCTTCGTGGCAAAATAAAAATTTTTGTTAATAATAAATAGGAAGATTTTTATTACCATTTCTATAAAAATATCATTAAAGCAAAATCAATGATTTATCAAAATAGTTTTACACTAGTTAGTTACTATGCAGTGAGCGCTATTAACTACTTTTTGAAACCATAAGTAATAAATACCGCTCACTGCATATTTATACATTTCTAATGGTTTATATAATTTTTAGCGAATTATTGATAAAAATTGCACAATTGAGCGCTTTATATTTTTATAAGTAAAATGGAAGCAAATAAAGCCACATGTAATTTAGGTTCAAGCGTAACTGAACTTTATGTATACTTGCGCCTCCGAGCGTGTGACTTAGTGATCAGTTAACTTTGAATCATATAAGAATTGTAGCGATAATACTTGGGAAAATCTATATCTATAAAAAAAAAAAATCTATAACACAAGTAGCCATATGACAGGGATGTTTGAAAAATATGTGATATATTTACTAGACAATAATTTAAATGAAATCAGTGGTGAAAATAGAAAGACTGATCAATAACTATTCTTGAAGTCCATGGAATCATTCAACGATTGTATTGCAGGAAATTAATTTATAGTGAGTCTACAAGCGTCTGAATTCAACTCAAACTACAACTTTCAAGGCTCTCAAAAAGCTTTAGATGATATTAATATCAGTACGGATGATTGTTGTTAGAGCTAGGTAGGACCAAAGAGTTATTCAAATCTAAATATTACTAACTACATTCTTAAATTGCCATAATATTGTACTATTAATTAGCACACAGTTTTACCATAGTCATTTCACAGTTATTTATATAAATAATCAAACAATTTTCTGTCTACTTGTGACTCGTAAATAATTTTTCGTGCTCTAATAAAACAAACTGCCTTGAGCTCGAAAAAAAATCTCTAATCATGCTATGTTTGGAAGCCCACTATTCAGCGATTATCACAGCATTTAAATATATCTCGCATAGATTTTCAATTCAATTTTATCATTAGCTTCTTCGTGGCTTTATATGCACATCATTGAGCTTGAATGAAACTGCCGTTGCTTGTTTGTTTACGAAACAAATTAGCAATAAAGTTGGCGATAAAAACAAATATTTGTATGTATTAGGGTGGGTCAAAAAAAATCGAATGTTTTTTTTCGCGAACTAGGCCCTCAGTTTTTGAGATATCGATCTGAAATTTTGCACCTGTCCTTTTCTAACTAAGAAGCTGCTTATTTGTCGGAATGGTCGACATCGAACCATTATAGCATATAACTGCCATATTAACTGAACGATGGGAATAAAGTGCTTGTATGGAAAACTTTTTTATTTGTCGAGGTATTTTCACGAAATTGAGTAAGAGTTGTTATTTAAGGCAATTATGCAATCTCCGAAAAAATTTTATAAATCGGATGACTATAGCATATAGCTGGCATATTAACTGAACGATGGGAATAAAGTGCTTGCATAGAAAACTTTTTTATTTGACAAGGTATCTGTACGAAACGAGATCGGAAATAAGTTCTTGTAAGGAAACTTTATGTTTGTGAAGGATCTTATAGCTTCGCTGCAACCGAAGTTAACGTTTTTTCTTCTTTTTTATTGAGTTCAAAATAAAAAAAAACAAATTTGTCCTAAAATAGTCAAACTTCAACCGTTTATATCTTTGAAACGGTTAGGTTTATGCAAATATGAAAAAATTTGCTAAATGCAAATATAAAAACACATGTGACACATTTTAGTAAATACATATGTACATAAATAAGTTTGTAGATACAAAAGTCTTAGCGTGAAAAAAGGAATGAAAAGAAAATCTGCAAAAATGTATGATAGCGTTGTGCAAAAAATAAGAATGCACCTCAGATCATTAAAATATTAAAAAAATAAATATTAAAATTCACTTTTTAAAAAATTAAAAGTAAAATATTATTATTTTTTAATAATTAACTTCAAACTATGGAAATTTCTCAATCACTGGCGATTTATGAATCCAAAGAAGTTTTTTGTATATAATTGAACGCGTGTAACAGGACACATACATTTATTTCCATTTTTCAAAATGTGTAGATATGTATGTAAGCTCATATTCATGCATTTTTAACATAAAAAGTGATTCGCTTACTCGCAAAGAAATTATGAGGACGGAAACTAAGTCCAGATAAATGGCTTTATGCTCTTATGAATGCTTAAACATACTCGCTTACTAATCACATATGCATACAAATACATATACACATATAATATATAAATGTGATTTCCTTTGTTATAGGTCGTTTGCTTGAGGTTAAAAAAATCTCACATACATATCACCTACATACATATGTATTGTGTAGAAATATATTTAATATTTAAGTGTGCGTAATCAAAATAGGCAAACAAAAGCTGCAGCGCTGACATATGAGCG